CTCTGCCATAATTCTTGTTTTCTTTGTTGAGTCTATATTGTCTTTAACTGGTGGATTGGGTGAACTGGTCACTCCTAAAACAACAAAAGTGCTTGTATAAGCAAAGAGTAAGGTAAAAACATAATCATAATAATCATAATAATATCAGTGGGTGCAGCAAAATTTCACAAACTGACTACCTACAACGCCATGACCGCGTTGCTAAGATCATTCACTGGAAATTGTGCCAAAAGTGTGGATTTGAGTACAGCAAAAACCACTGGGACCGTCAGGTTGAGAAGGTTTTAGAGAATGAGAAAGTCAAGATCTTGTGGGACTTCAGAATCCAGACTGACAGGCACTTGGCCCACAACACACCTGACATAACAATAGTTGAAAAGAAAAAAGTATGGTTCATTGACATTGCAATACCTGGAGATGCACGAATTGAAGATAAACAGCAAGAAAAAATCACAACGTACCAGGACTTGCAAATTGAAGTTAAGCGACTGTGGAAAAAGAAATTGTGTGTTGTCCCGATTGTAATTGGAGCCCTTGGAGCAATACCCAAAGGGCTACCTTGCTATTTGGAAATTTTAAATTTATCAGACTTGAACATTCTGATTCTACAAAAAGCCACCCTACTTGGAACAGCTTATATCCTTCGATGTTACCTTAACAGTTCCTAGGTCCTTGGTTAGGACTCGAGCTGTTGAGCTACCAACCAGCCCCAAAGGCTGTGAATCTCACCAAGATTAACCATACAATAATAATAATAATAATAATAATAATAATAATAATAATAATAATAATAATAGTAATAATAATAATGATGATGATGATTCAGAGCTCTTCAATAGGCAACATATTTGCTAAATAGTAGGTAGTATTAAAGGTTCCCCAAAGAACCATCATCATTACTCTGACAACAATGATTAGGAGTTTAAGAAAACAGTTCAAATGTTCTATGGGAATCTGGGTAATTAAGTAGCAAGCATGGAGTTTGTGCTGAACCAAGATTTCAGAGTACAAAATGAACAACCTTATTGGTCCTCAGGCCTCATGTAAGGCAGTTCACAAAACTTCCTATGGAAGTTAGCAAGAAATTCTCTTGCATGAATGAGATCTGGGGTTATAGCCAGCTTGCAAGAATGGAAGGGGCAGAGACATATGCAGTGGGGTGCAAGAAATGCCATGTATGATTGGGTTTCTGTGAAACTCTCCAAGTTTGTTTCATATATGGAAGAGGAATGCTGTACTGATATGGAAATTCTAAGAAAGCATTACATATTTTTTCAACTATAAAGATAACTTCGGAAAAACCACCCTGTTAGTAAAATGGCACTTTAATGTGATCTATTAGCAGCTTTGGCCCATATACTGAAACAGAAAACCAAGTTGCAGGGATATTATTAATACATTTTATCTAACTTTCCTCCAAATTTACCTTCTCATTAGGATTCATGTATCCGTTCTCATGTTATTCTTACAACAACCCATGAGGTAGTTCCACTGAGCTATTGTGACAAACTCAGTCTCCCAAGCAGAGTTTTTAGTGAGAGAGCAGTATTTCTAAGCAAGCACCCCACACATAATGGGAGCTTTTTATGTGCTTGAGTCTCATGGGGGAAAAAAGGGATAATGTGATGGTTTGGACCTCATACGAGTGTATGAGATTGCTCAAAAGTATCCTGTATTTGGAAAGTTAATAAGTTAACAAAAATGACTATTTTTATAGCAGGGAAAATTGAGAAGTGGGGGCAATAGACAATCAATCAATCAATCAATCAATCAACCAGCCAATCAATCAATCAGAATAGAGCTGGAAGGGAAAATAGCTCCAAGCATCCAAATGCGTTCTGAACCTGGGAGTTTTTGAAAACAGACTCTTCATGAAGAGATTTCATGCAATCTTATCTCCCATTTGAATAAGGAGCACTCAAGCCAGTAGAGTTTACTTCCAAACAAAGATGGATGAAGTTGCACATGGATGAGTAGAGGACAACAAATATGAAATTCCATTTGTTTCAGCAAAATTTAGAGGAACTTAACTTTCACTGGGTTCTTTCTAAAACTAGTCTCTCCTTTCTCCAATTCTTTGGGATTTATGAGTATTTTTGGAAATTTGAGAAAGCGTCTCTGTGGGCACTCTCACAACATAGCCATTAGGAAGATAGTCAATCATTAAACACCCTCTTTCTTATAAAAGCAAATTGTCAGGATGCTTTCTGCCATTGCTTTTCACAGGATGTTCCCCCACACACCCCAATTTTGGGGCACATGTCCACCCAGAGTGTTGACATTTTTAATATTCTGAGACTATGTACAAGAATCTTAGGGAATTCAAAGGCTTTCTTGGAACTAAATGTAATTCTGGAACTAGTGCTTCCTTTTGCTTGATGAGAGTATTTGTACTTTTAGGAAACTTGAAAGTATGTCTTCTTTATCAAGTTGGATGGAAGCAAAAAGTATGGTGAGCTACCATGGAGATGTCCATGGAAAATCTCGCTCAAGGTCTAGTGGAAAATCTCAGTTTCAAAATTAAGCATTTGTTATCATCACAAAGCCTTTTCTATTCCAAACTTGTTGAATTTGTATTTTCTGCTATCTCTACTCTAAACAGGGATGGGGTTTTTTTTGGTAATTAACATGGAATGTATTATTTGTTCAAGACATTTCTGCAAGGGGAGTGTTCCTTTTGTAAATCTAATTAAAATTTCTAGTTTATCACAATAATTTTATTTGTACAGACATTATAGCTACATCTTGTAATTTATCACCTAAAAAAATCATTAAAATACAGCAGCTAGTCCTATCCTGTGACATTAATAAACAAATGTATTTACTCAGTATGGCTCTCAAGACCTTATATACAGAGCATCTAACTTTATCTGCAGAAAACGGGTAGCATCAAGGGAGTTCTAGGGGAGAACTCTCATGCAACAAGTGCGAGAATGAACTCTACTCTTGTGTATGAGACATAAGTCAGTTGGATAGCTCTAAAGAAGATACACCAAGACAGATCAGGAACAGCACGTTCATATATACACAATTCATGAAAACTAAAAGTTAGAAACAATAACGCTACACCCACACATCCTGTCGTGTGGAACAACAACAACAACAAAAAAGAGAATTACCATTTGGGTAGAGACTAATTCTGGAGGTGCTTAGATTTCCTATAACTTCTTGGGCATTCTAAATAACATCTACATCAGGTGAATATCATACCAATCACTTAAGATATCACCAGTCCAACCTGATGATGCTGGACTACACAGGGTTAAATGAAGCTGACATTTGCAGTTCAACACATTTGAAGAACATCCAATTGGAAAAGTGAATTAGCTTTTTTTCTTCCATTTTGCAACAATACTCTAAACATGTACCTTGATCGAGGGAAGCAACGGAGGACTGTTTAGCATATTTAAAAATAATGCCAGAATTCGGACCTCAATCACTCAAGGAGAAATTTGGATGGTGAATGAAATGTTAAGCCTTTGGTTGGCACAACTGTACTACCTAAAAAATTGAGGAAACCTTGTTCATAGGATATTGTGCTGGTTGAGGCTGCTTTCAGGTCTACTAGATATTAGAAAACTGATCAAAGCTATGAAGTAGAGTGATCTTATCAAGGTTAGGAATTGTGCTTCTAAAGAATCTGTAATGTCTAGATGGGCCTCAAATTATCTCTCATTTAGAATCAAGGCCAACAGATTTGTGGACAAACATGACAGAGGAGACTCACCCTGCATCTTTGGTCCATATAAATTAGAGAACTTTTATACCATGCTTGATAGACAAAAGAATATGAGCAAACCGTGTAAGAGTAGAATTAGCATTCTATTTGGAACTCTTCTAGTATCAATATATGCCAATTCCTCCTTCAGAAAAATGTTCCAATTCACACTATGTTGACATTAGAATATTTTAAACATACAACTGAATTGCTTTCCATTGGCATTTGTGCGATACTGGCATTCTTCTCCAATTTCAGATTTTTGAGCTGGCTGGTCCTAGGCCAGATTCTAGTAAGGATCTTAGAAGATCCAAATGCTAAGGATTGTGCAAAGACAAAAGGGGTGGTGTTGCTTACAGCTACACTGAGTTTGAGAGTCCTAATTAATGTCTTTTTTATTCTGCATATGAGTTGCAAGCAGATAAATGAAATGTAATGCAGCTTGACTTTAATATGGTATGTGCATCTGGGAGGTCTGCTGTAATGTGCTTTCAACCAACTTAAAGTGTGTAGTCATTTCTTGCAACAACGTGGCCCGTCTGTGTCTCTTTTAACCATAGTGCAAAAAAAAAAGGGAGGGGTTTCTGAGAAGCATGCAGCACAATGTCCATCTGGTGCAGGATGTGTTGCCCTTGTCTCAGAATTGCACCACTACCAAACACCTTGTACTCTTCTCTTTTCTCCCAGCCCTCTGTAACCCTGCTCTGTCTTTTACCAATTCTTTTGGTAACTCCTCATGTTCCTCTCAGTCTTCAGATCATTGCCTGTCCCCCCTTTCTTGCCATATTCTAGCTGGAGCCACCCATCTTTACCCCCTCAACTCTTTTGCAATTTCTTCTTGTTGTTGTGTGTTCTACAATATTTTTTAATTTATAGCAAGGGTCTCCAAGCTTGGAATCTTTAAGATTTGTGGACTTCAATTCTCAGAATTCCCCAGCCAGCACAAGTCTTAATTCTATCCACAAGTCTTAATGTTGCCAAGTTTGGAGGTCTCTGATTTATAGAAACCAACACTATCTTCTTCTCAGAACTATAATTGGCCTCCGTGAATTGGAAACCAGAAGAGAAGGATGGACCCATTTGACAGTGGTAGGCAGGCTGCTCTGTAGCTATTGTTTCCCCCCGAAAATAAGACAGTGTTATTTTCTTTTGACCCCCTGAAATAAGCACTTGGCCTTATTTTCGGGGAGATCTTATTATTTTTGAAGTGTGGGAGGCGGCGAGCCTGGCACCTCATGGCTGCTGCTGTGTTGGGGAGGGCTTATTTTTGGGGAGGGCTTATTTTAGTGCATGAGCTCAAAAGCCTGATTGGGCTTATTATCCGGGGAGGTCTTATTTTCAGGGAAGCAGGGTATGTTCAGTATGCCTAACTAGAGACCATCAAAATGGCAGCTGATGGTTATCACGTGCTGCATATTTATTGAGTGCAACCAGTGCCATAATAGACACTTCATATGTCAAGAACAGGATAGCCATGATCTGCCATCTATCAATCTTGGAACCATTATTTTTTAAATGCACGGTAAAGACATGCAAGCTTTTCCTTGCTTATTTCTGAAACATAATGCTCCCTGCAGTGAACACGCAGAAACTTTTAATCTAAGGTTTGGGCAAATATCTTGCTTTTCTATTCCCCTGATTTTGATGTACTGAGCAGTAGATTTTATAAAACTCCAGGGTGCCACTGTGTAGGCTTCTGGTCTGAAATCTCACCTCTTTCCTCGCTCTCACACCCATACGGCGAGACACAGACACATAACTTTCCATATTTCAGTGTATGCTAATTCCTGCCTGTGTTTGCAACCTAGAAAACCCCCTCGTCCTCCTATGATAATTATTGCACTAACGGTGAAGAGGAACACCAGAGGGCTGATGTTTTTGTTTGTTTTTCAGCCAGACGCAACTTGCAACCTGCTGTTGCCTGAAATACAGGTGCTGCTTAGATAATTACAGCAATGTGCTACAAACAAGGAACAAACAGTGAAGGTCGTTTTTGTAACCTGGGCTTGTACATCCTTGAGAAGGGATGGGTATGTAAAAGCAGTTTCCTAAAGGTTCAGTGCATTAACCAGAATGTATCTCATATCTAACACATTTAGATACAAGGTTCTGACTTGGGTTGAACGGGGTCTCACATGACGTCTCTCCAGCTCCCGTAGAGTTTTTCTCTTCCCTCCAGTTCTTTTCAATGTGGTCATGTTACCAAGATGCCAAGATGATTCACACCATGAGTAGAAATTGATCTTGCTCTGGGGGTTTTTTCACCCAAGTGCCCAAGCCTGCCTTTTGAAATGCTCTGAACAGCTGCTGTTTGGCAGACTGATAGACATGTGCCACCAACTTGGCCTCGCTGTACACTGATGGCACTTCTCCATGGCTTGATATCGGTGTGCTCAGCTGCAGAGGGAAAGAGAAGGGAGGGGGAAATTCAGATGCCAACGAACAAAGAGCTGAAGCATCATCCTCTTCTGTAGCTTTGTATCACCATTTCAGCTGCCTCTCTTAATTTCTACAAAGAAATTGTGAGCTTTACACGTAACAGTATTCAGGGAAAAAAAAACATTTGAGAAGATCTGCGTCTCACTGCATAGACAATGCCAGACTACCATCTTCACACAAAAGGGGATTTTGGAGAGCTCAACCAACCAATATTGTACACCGTTTGGAAGAATGCTCAGAGCACTATGTGTGTAAATTCTACCAGTTAATTCACATTCCTCTTTTGGACATATTTTTTTTTGGAAGCATTGTAAAGCCCATGACAAAGAATGGCCATTGGAATGCATTAGTTCTTTCCAAATGGACTCTCCATTCCTCTAAATGACTCCATTTTGCTCATTTGGAAGGAACCAGAGTATTTTTGAAGGCCATGTTCATTTGTCATTTGGGAAAGAGAAACAAAATCAGAATGGCTGCCATGTTCAGTGGCATGAATAATCCAATATGTTCCTAATAACAACCAACAAAGCCATTGCTCATTTTTTTTAAAAAAAATCATAGAATTTCCAAATTCATATTCATAGAAATGAAACTTCATTTCATCTGAAATTTGTTGATGCTTTATTTAAAAGCCAACCATCTCTCTAAATTTCTAGGTGAAAAGGGAAGGAATAGAATTCTCTTTTCCAATCTCCTTTTTTCTTATTTTGTGAAACTTCTGGTGTTACTCGGGCTCCCAATATTCAGCTAAAGAAGAATTTGAACTGTTTTGTAGACTATTAGGCAGAAATAAAATTTCAAAGTAAAGAAGTACAGAAGTAAAGACCATACTGTGGAAGACTTACTTCTTAAGGGTGGTAGAAATGTAAAAAAAGGTAACATAGAATAGAATAACAGACCGTGTAAGGGACCTTGGAGGTCCTAGTCCAACTTCCTGCTCAGACAGGTAGCTCTCTACCATTTCAGACAAATAGTTTTCCAATCTCTTCTTTAAAACCTCCAGTGTTGGAACATCCACAACTTCTGGAGGCAAGTTGTTCTAATGATTAATTGTTCAAACTCTTAGGAAATTTCTCCTTAGTTCTCTCTTTGATTAGTTTCCATGCATAGCTTCTTGTTTTGCTTTCTGGTACTTTGGAAAAATAGGTTGATTCCCTCTTCTTTTGGCAATCCCACAGATATTGAAATACTGCTGTCATGTCAACACTAGTTCTTCTTTTCATTAAACTAGAC